CTTGATGAACTTCGTGAAATATCGTGAAATTTTTTCAACACTGCTCACATTCTAGCCCGCATGCTGTCCCACTGGAGGCTTTATTCCAGAACACATTTCTTATTTATGAACATAACATTTGATACTGTCGTGTGCATCCAATCTCGAAGCGTACAACGAAGGATCAGAGCAGGATGTTCTGCGAGAGTTGAGGTACATCATCAATTTTGTTATGCACAATGAACAATAAAGAAGAAAACAAGCTTATCATAGGGGGCGGCCAGATTTGGCCCCCGGTCTTACCGAGTATCTTCGGGACGGATATTTTCACATTTTCTCCTGCGTTTTTCCTCGGATATTCTTGTCAGTCATTAGTCTTAATTGGTGTGGACTTTGATAGGACAACCACAGGACTTTATAGCGATGTCCATAGAATATTGAAGGGTGTATCTGTAATGCTATATGCTCTAGAATCACGAATCGCCCACGTTTGTCATCTGTGTGGAGCTGACTGGATTGGGCGGAATCTTCTCGAGTTCTATACAGATCTACAGGCACCTGATACAGCGCTTCCGCTGAAGTCTGCGGTGACTGAGAATCCTATTTTCAAAGTATGACAGTTCTTCGGGGGAAGGCATCATACGATAGGCTTGGGTTATATCTTTGAGGACACGCACTTCTGAGTCGATCAGTTGACTTTAAACTGGTTCGACGATGTTGCTCCAAGCGTGTGATTGAACTATGCTTGAACTTGGAAGTCTGCCATGATCCAGCAGAGAAATTGAGAATGTAAACAAAATTACAAAAGTCATAACCTTCAGTGTTGCCAAACACTTTGAAAAGCATACTTTAATTGCCGTTCCCAACAAACATTGAATGTTGAATAAGAGCTTGCTCATGCAAACGTAAGCTTCTTCAGCTAAAAAATAGCTTATTCAGCTGTTGATCAACTCAAATTGTTTTTTGGGTTGATAGGTACGTTCGGCAGAGCGCTAGGCACAGCTTTTGACACAACTAATAACTCGGCACGAATTGAGGTGTGCAATTCGGAATTCGCAATTATAAAATATTGCATGCAATTCGACTAAACTTTCAGTAAAAGCTTTGTGTTAAACCTTATTGAAAAATTAATCAGATACGGATTAAAAAGATTTTTTGCGATGAAAATACAGATTGAAAATCGAAAAAATGTGGCATCACTACTGACTGCTCATGTCGTAGTGGAAATATTTACTTTTAGAATTGCCCAGCTTTGCAGGACGTTTAACGCATTATACAGTTTGTATGTTATTAAGGTATTAGATATTGATTAAACACTCTTCTTTGTTATGAAATTTTGGTAGTAATTGTAGCAGATAGAGTTAGTGTGGAATAGAAATGAGTAGAATCGAATGAGCGTGAAGCGTGATAGACCGTATGCAAACGAGTCCTGATTGGTTCGGGAATTTTGATACCGCTAGAGGTATAAATATGAGGTACCTAAGCTCGTTGACGCCATTCTCTGCTTGAACGTCAAGCAGTACAGTTCGGTCTTTGCTCGCTCTGTCGAGTTGTTCGATTAACCTATAGTTTGTTACAAACGTTCGCAGATATACTGCACGTCGCGTCGTCAGTAGTGTCGGTCGCATCGCGTGATGGGAAGACAGCGCTCTCGGAGCAGACTTCGTGACCAAGCGGAGAAGAAGAACAGTGGTGAGGGTAGCTCGGTACCTACCTCAAATAGGTACGCTACTCTTCCCACCGATGTTGGGAATACCCGGTGAAGCATACGAAAAAGAGGAAGAACAATCAAGGACAGTCCGATGTTACCGCAACGAACCCCAGCGACAGTGATTTCAGCGCCGCCGTCGAAACCGAGAATTCTGCCGGCCCGAGTGCGGCCAAAGTCAAGCTTCCTCCACTGGTGGTGAAGGTAGTGCCCCTCTAGACGCCATTGACGATTTCGCATCGCAGCTGAGTACAAGATCAGCACGATCGGCACTAAGGTGATGCTCCGGACGAGAGTGAAATACGAAATCGCCGTCAAATTCTTGAATGATTCCAATGCGGAATACTTCACGCACGACATCCATGGTGAGAAGCCCTTCAAGGTAGTCTACCGAATGTTGACCCCAAGGCGATCGAAGAAGAACTCAAGGACCGGTACAAGCTGGCCCCAATCGCTGTCTTTCGGATGACGAGGAGACGAAAACGTGAAGACGTACCCGGATTATCTTTTCCTGGTGCTCGTTCAGAAGGGAACGGTGACGCTGAATGCGCTGCAGGCTATCCGCTCAATCTACTCCATCATCGTACGATGGGAGCCATACTGAACTTTGGACATGGCACCCGCAACTGTAACATCAAGCCACGCTGCAGCAACTGCGCTCAAGAACACGCCACTTCCAACTGCCCTGCGGATGGAGCCGTGGCGTTAAAATGCGCCAACTGTGGTGGTGGCACATCAAGGTTCCGACAGACAGTGCTCCAAACGCGAGGACTTCAAACGCATCCGAAAACAGGTGGCAACTAACAACCAACCAGGACGCAAGAAGGACAAAGTCCCGGTATTCCGAACGGAGGATTTCCCGCCTCTTCGTGCTCCTCAGCAAAGGCAAGCGAATTCGCGGGTGCATCCCGCTCAAGCAACTTCCGGTGATTCTGCTGGCCAAAGCTCTCCATTCCCCCCTGAATTCTGGAGACAACCAACAGCGCAAAACAACAACCCCGATCTGTTCTCAGCGGATGAACTGATGGAAATTTTCGTCAACATGTCCGGTGCTCTTCGTAAGTGCCGCAATAAGCCCGAACAGATCCAAGAGCTCGGTAAGTTCATCATCCAGTATGGCGTCTAAACCGCTAACTATCGTCACCTGGAATGCTTGCTCTGTAAGAGCAAAAAAGATTGAGCTTGCCGACTTCCTCCGCAAGCACAGCATCGACGTGGGCCTTCTAACCGAGACCCATCTAAAGTCCGGCGACAGCTTCTGGTTGCCTGACCACAACATTATCCGGCTTGATCGCACCAGCTCCAGGGGTGGTGGTGTTGCGGTCGTCGTCAAGAAAGGAATAAAATACCACACTCTGTCCCATATCCGCACCTCTATCATCGAGGCCCTTGGTGTGGAGGTGGAGTCGTCGACTGGATACGTCCAGTTCATCACCGTCTACTACCCTCGACAGTGTGCCGCCAGCAGTGGACTAGCGGCTAAATTCAAGAAGGACCTGTCCACCATCACCCGTACCGGTTCCCGCTTCGTAGTTGTAGGAGATCTGAATGCTCGCGATGAGGCCTGGCGGAACTACCAGCAGAACCAGAACGGTCGTCTCCTGTTCGACCACTAACAGCATGGGCTGTACTCCGTTTGGTTTTCGGATGAACCAACATTCATCTCACCGGCGGGCAACCCATCCAAGCTAGACCTGTTCCTGACAAATACCGGCTTGTCCAAGCCGGTAGCCTTGAACGAACTCAGCTCCGACCACCAACCGGTGGTGGCTGAACTGGGCTACAACGTGGCTCCTGCTTCAAGCCTGCGCAAGGACTACCATCGCGTAAACTGGGCCCAGTTTGGACGCGTGGTAGACAGGCACATCAAGGACAACCCGCCGCTTGACACCGTGGAAGACATCGACCGTGCGTTGAAGGGACTCCACCAAGCCATAACAGTGGCTGATGAGGCGTGCGTTCGACGAGTTCCTGTGAGGGGTAAGTTTATTGCCATTGATTCCCACACCTAACCCTTGATTCGCCTGAGAAATGTTCGTAGACGCCAGTTCCAAAGAACCGGAGATCTAGCGAGGAAACGTGAAATGGCCGATCTGAACAAAGATATTGCTTCCAGAATGGTCTCACTCCGGAACGAAAGTTTCGGGCGAATCGTCTAGAATCTGGACAACCGCTCCAGACCATTCTGGAAAGTTGCCAAGGTCCCAAAACCCATTTCACCACTCAAAGATGAATATGATGACGATCGGCTCATAATCACCCCTCAGGAGAAAGCAAATGCGATGGGTGAGCATATTGCCAAATCGCACTTGCTTGGCTCCATCATCCAAAGTCCGCTCGAAGTTCAGGTTGAGCAATGCGTACTCAACCTTGATTCCTCCCCTTGTGCCATCCCTCCGGAGGATAGAATCACAGTGGAACAGATTTGCTCAGCGCTGAAATGCACCAAAAACATGAAGGCCCCCGGGTTCGACGAAATATTCAACCTAGTGTTGAAAAATCTCAGCATGAAGGTTCACTCTCTGCTGGCTGCTGCCTTCAACAGATGCTTGAAACTGCACTACTTTCCAAGCATCTGGAAAGTAGCAAAAATCATGCCTATGCAAACCCGGGAAGGGCCCAACGCTAGCGTCAAGCTACAGACCGATCAGTCTCTTTTCAGCGCTGAGCAAATTGTTCGAGAAACTTATTCTCAATCGTTTCCTAAAGTTTGTCGAGGAACACAACATTCTCCTGGTTCTTGTTGCACTAACTATCCACTAATTGTGAAATTGAAATCAAACTATTGAATTAACTGCTCCAAGTTGCACCGTAAGCAACCGAATTTTATTGCAATGGCGAACTTATCCTTTTCCTATCTGTTTGCACTACCTCCACTATAATCTATATTGTATTGTTGCTATGCTTCGAAACTAGGGGGTGTCCAAGCGGCGTCGCAAAAATCAGTGAACCAGATTTTGGCCAAAAAGGTTCCCTAATTGTTCGTATCTTAGTTTTCAATTTTAATATTTTTTACCTTATTTATTTCCATGCAGGGTTAGAACATAGATTTTGTCATGTCTACGCGAATAAAGACATGGAATTTTTTTCAAACTTAAGTTACACCCTAGGGTCAACAACTTGAGCACTAGTACCATAAAACTGGCTCACTTACCATATCACATTTTTTTCTCCGTGCTACAACCCTTATCCCTTAATCAATAAATCTGAAAACACAGTCCTATTGTTTGATTACAACCCGAAAGCTTAACCCGACATCAGTTCAGAGCTAACACCGATCAGCTATCAGTTTTCGAATCAACTTTCAACCTACCACCCATCGGATCCCGATGATGCTTCCGCTTGCCGCTACCCGTCCCAACGGAGCCCGGCATCCTGCCGTCCGGTTGACCGCCACCTCCCGCTCCACCTAATCCTCCTCCTCCTGTTCCTGCTCCATGGTGATGCTTGGGCAGCGTACAGCTCTTACCCCGACAACCCTTCATGTACTCCAACGTCTCGTGCAACACTACCTTTTCCTCCGCCGTCAACGTCGATTCGCGGTTCTGCGTCTCGAATGGATCTGGAAAATAAATGTTCCTCTCAATTTAGCAATAAACTCTTAGAATGCCCATATACCACCTACCACTTCTCAAGTTGTAGTAAGTGACCAAACCAGTCGTAAACTCGCAGTACAGGAAATTGTGCGTCTGATTGATCGTCCTCAGGCACGAGTACGTGTTGTTGTTCGCATTCATGCAGAAACAGAACGGCTTATCGTCCCACATCGGTGCCGTCCGCCAGTGGTTCGCGTCGTGGTTGAAACAGTTCATTCGCTCCGAGAGGCATTCCTTGCCCAGCTTGGACTTCCGCTGGCGTTTCCTCTCCTTCTTCCTCTGGCGTTCCTCCTTCAAACGTCGGCGCGTTTCCCGTGCCAGGTCCCGTTCGTCAGGCAGAGGTCTGCAATGGTGTAAACATGGAAAATCAAAAGACTCGAATGCCTCCGCAGGCAACAAACTCCCTCCGTACCCGTCAACTTCCGGTTCGCAGTAGCACTCAGCAGCCGGGAGGGCGGTGTCGTGCTTAACCACCGGAATCTGGTTGTGCGTGATGGCGTTGACGCTGAAGATGTCGTTTGCCACCGTGGTCGTCGTGGTGGTGGCATTCTGCAGCACTGGGTTGGTGTCGGTGTCGTCGTCGTCGACTAGCGAGGGAGATTCAGTTTCCGCTGTGGTTGGATCTACTTGGAAGGGCGTTTCATCAAAGCCAGATGCTTCTGTCACAATGGAAAAGGAGGAAGTGTTGCTCGGGAATGTGTTCTCGTTGTCTACAAAATGTGAAAATGGACTAGATGATTGCTGGTAACCTACGGTTGTAGAACTGGCAATCGATTGCAGAATTTCTTCAGTTATCTCAAGAACTGTCTTCTCCGTTGTACTGGAAGTGGGGGTTTCCAGTTCAATCGAGGTGGGTTCATTGGAAGAACTAGCAGCGCTTGTTGTGGTGGACGTCGTCGATTGGGATTCCAGACGATTTCTACTACGGTGCTTGCCATTCACTCCAAGCGAATGACCATTGCTTCGGTGCCTGTTCTGACTAGATCTGGAACTGCTTAGCTCCGGTTGAGCCTCTTCATTGTTACCACCAGCTTCGAACAAAGTCATGTCGATCAGTGTTCCTTCTTCGTCTTCTGTTCTTGCAGGCTTCGGACGCCTCCGGTTTATACCACTATTCTGTTTTGGACGCTTTCCTGAACCAGTTCGGTTGAAAGGCTCCCTCCTTTGGAATACCTGCTCCAAGAATGGGTTCAATGTTGTTGTACTAGTTGACGTCGTGGTAGTACTAGTTGTAGTTTTGAGTTCATAATCCTGCTCGAAAGATGCACTTTGATTATCCTCTTCATCGTCCCCATCCTCATCTCGGAAGCTAGACGGCCTGTGTTCCTTCAAGTGCTTCTTGATATCCTTCAGATCGTTTATTTTAGTTTTCAATACCTTGATCAGCATATCTATTTGCATGCGACTTCGCTTCCAGCTGGTTTCGTCCTCGTAGATGACGTTCGAACAATTCACTTTCCCTATCGCTGTGACAAAACACTTGGTACCAGGAAGATCCACTTCCTCAGCCGCCGTCGAATTCTGCTTCTTCAGCACTGAATTCTGCTCGAAATTTCGCTCAATGTCCTTCAACGTGCTCTTCAACTCGTGAATCACACTCTCAATCTGACCACCACCTCCGCTACCGGTCGCCTCCCGCTTGCTTCTCCTTCCGCCCTCCTGACTAGATTGGATTTCCTCTTCCACTTCAACTACCGATCTGGCAACCCTAACCAAACCAGCCATTTCCGGATTCGCTTCCAGAAAGACCTCCGCATAGACGTCCTCCAAGTTCCGTTTCTGCCGTCGGCTGCGGTGACCTGGATTTCGCCCTCCCAGCATGTGATGCTTGTAGTCCCGTTTGGATTTGATCTTGGTGTAGATCAGCCCATCCGGGGTGAAACAGGCGCAGTTGCGCTTGTTCTGACTAGATAGTTTGTTGATTTCGGCCAGGTGGCTCTGCAGTTGCAGGTGAAACTTGCACTTGTGCCGGCGCCAGCGCCCGTCCTCGTTGATGCAGCGCCACTTTTGTCCGGCGACGCAGTTTTGCTGCAGGGTCGGGTTCGAGCACTCGTTATTGAGGCGTTCCATCTTCGACCGGAACGGCGACATCGGTAGGTGATTGTCCAGCGGGTCGTGATGGGCTAAAAGGGGAGAGGGGAGAGAGGAATACAGTGGAAAATCAAAAAAGAGCATTTTGGCAAAGGTGGGTTGAAATCTGTGACATAGGTTAAGACTTAAAAAAATATTTAATGGACCCACGTATGAGGTATTGCAACGGATTTCTTGACTAACTTTAAAACTTTTTAGGAAATTCATTTAAGCTTCACTCGAAAGACTTCACTAGATTCTTCTATCAAGAGGGTTTCAGACGAACGCTGGCACAAGTTCCGTATATACTAGGGTGCCCTTGAAATGTATGGGGAAAAAGTGACCATCGAATTTTTCAAACCGACCATGTATAAAAAGTTCATTGCCTAGAAAAAAGACCCTTTGCAAAATTTGGACTCAACCGGACATGATTTCATGTGCCGTAAAACCGTCAAAGTTTAAACTTTTTTATCATGAAATTTCGGAAAACTACGTTTTTGTATGATGCCAATTGACATACAAATGCGAGAAATGTCGATATCCAGATTAACTCGACACTACTTGTTTTCAAAAATCGGCATCCTGGAACTTAAGACAGATTCATTCCGAGTGCTGCAAGACATACAATTATTCACAAAAAATCAGTCCGATGACATGGCACCCTCCGCACAGCGCGGCACACTTGAGGCACACTGAGATAAATGTTGGCGCAAAATAAGTGTACAGAGTGACCACCCCTTGGGTAGGACCTATTGAAATGTTTATCTAGAAATCTCGATTGATTTTAGAATAGGTCCTACATCCATGGTAGTCATTTGAAGTGCCCAGGACCACACTGGTCATGTTTTAGGAACCCCAGAAGTAACTGAAACCGAGATAAATAAAAACAAACCCAAGGGCCTAATGTATTTTTCTAGATAATATCAAAATTGCCGTTTTTGAAGGCGAAAATTCAAACTTTTCAACAAAGAACGGCCTTTCCAGGAAAGTCCGGAAATGTCAGCTTGAATAAGCTTCTGAAGGAAGCCGAAGAAACTACCAGAAAAGCAAGAAAGACGCTCTTCTGGAGGAAGTTCGAAGAACGTTCTAATAAAAGCCGGAATAACATCTGGGGAACTTCCAAGAAAAATATTGAGAATCTTTTGGAGAAAATTTAAAGAGACATTCGGAATAAAAAACGGTTGACACATCCAGAGGAAGCCAGAAAGGTTTAGGAAAAACCTTCCAATAAAAGTCGAAAAAAAAACATCCGGAAGAAGCTCATGGAGAAATTTCCTGAGGAAGACGAAATAAATTTCTGGGAGAATTTGAAAGATGCTTTCGGTAGAAGTTTATGTTGAATGACAACCGACCGATGCGTTGCATAGCAACCTAACAATCTAGATATTAAGATCGTGGTAGGGCTTGCCTTCTTTGAATTACGAATTGTTCTCTTTTACCCAAGCTACCGTTCAATAAAGACGCTTTAACTTTGCGCTGCCTATTTTATTAGGTTATGGGCCCAGCACAGTAGAAGGAAAATTTGCAAAGTTTCGTTTCGTTTGTTCGCGGAAATGGGTGAAGAAAAGTTGTGGCAGTTCGATGGAACCAACTTCGGAAACTGGATGTTCCGAGTTGCGGTTCTAATGGAGGACAAAGATTTGAGAAGGCCATCGAAGGCGAGGAAGCTCCAAGCGGACACAGCGGCAGTCAAGGCGGAGAAGAAGAAGATCGGAAGTGCAAAAATTTGCTTATCAACCGAATAGCAGAGGACCAACTGGACTACGTGAAGGACAAACGGACGGCGAAGGAAGCTTGGGACGCTTTGAAGAACGCGTTCGAGCGGGTTGGGATCGCCGGGAAGCTGTACTTGAAGAAGCAGTTCCAGGAGCTGCGTCTTAAAGAAGGCGAAAACGTGAGAAAGTGCTGCGTGAGATGAAGGCTGCCGGGGTGAAAACAGGACGATGAGGATGTAGTTTGCCAGCTTTTGTTAGCGCTACCAAAGTCCTATGATGCGTTAATCACGGCTTTGGAAACTATCCAACCTGACCAGTTGACCCTGGAGTACGCCAAGAAGCGGCTGATGGACGAGTCTGCAAAACGTGCGAATCAAACGAGCCACTCGGAGGAAAATTCTGGTGAGTCGGCTTTCGCCTGGAAGAAGGCTGGTTTCAAGTGCTTCGAGTGTGGTCGTTTCGTGCACAAACGTGTGGATTGTCCCGAATTCCGTTCATCGCGGCTACGGGCAACGGTGCTTTTTCGACGCCTACTGTGATGCCCAATATGCGAGTAGAACGGTTTCTGGATTCGGGTTCTGAAGGACGTAGTTTGTTTTGAATTTTTGCAAAATCCGATAAGTTGTTTTGTTAGAGTAGTTTTGATAACCGTGTGCGAGGAAGGAAAGCTAATTGCAGTTTGATTTTACTGTGAAGATTAATTAAGCAGTGTTCATATCACATTAGTTCGGAAGTGCATTCGTGCTTTAACCAGGTAAGCCCACATTGCATCCTTGAGTTATCTTTTCCTTTCGATATTAATTGATTACTACGTCCCAATCGAAATATTGATACTGCTCTTTAGTTGTTTATTGAGCGCTTTCTCAGCCTCTTTTATTAAGGGCTGATTATAATATTAGAAATGGATAATTATCAGAAAAGGGATTTACTGAAACGTCAGGTATTAGTGCATTCGGAGGGGGGTTAACTCACGGCGCAGTCATTTCGCTATGAGGTTGAATTCGTTGAAGCGGTATTGTTGCAGATAAGCTGGAAATTAGGAGATAACTTGTTCTTCCTTGAAGATCTTGTAGAGTTGAACTTGATTTTTATAGATTTTATTAAAAAAATAAATCGGCAAATTTATTTTGAATGGAATTTCAAGAGGAGAGATCGAGAGCTATGATGAGGGGATGATTTAGTATCAGGAATATATAGAGAAAGTAAGCAATGGAAGCCGGACAATTGAAAGAGAAATCCTGTGGGTGCTAGCGGAAATTTTCGAGTGCGAAGTTAATGTTTATTATAAGTCGGGAGGTAGGGTCACATATGGAGAAGGCAAGTTGAACTGAAGTTTAGGAAAATTGGAGTTTTTAATCAACTACGATGGTGAGATAGAGAATATACTGGACAAGAAAACATGTACTCGAGAAGAAGGTAGTTTTACAGAAAGAGTCGTTGCTGGCATTGGTGAAAAGGATACTGAAGGAAAAGGGAGCAGAGAGCGGATGAATCGAGGATCGAACTTACACAGTCGTTTAGGTGCGTTTCGGAGAGAACAGAAACAAACACAGGAATAAAAAATAAACATAATAATGACGAAATTGATAAACACAACTGCAAAATTGATATACAAAGGATAGACAGTTTCTTTCAGGCCTATAATCAGCTAGAAAAATCAACGTTGTGGATGAATGCAAAAGATGAGGAAGAAGTATGGGTGCTTCTGAGTAGGCTGTCAGAAGAATTGGATAGAGAAATGGTTATCGTGTGGGTTAATGGTAAGGAAAAGGTACTAGGAGTTACAGAAGGGAAGAGTAAAAAATCGCCGTTAGCGCTTAGAGTGATGAGTAATAACACAGAACAAAATGCGTATTATGTTCTATCAACATTTGAGGAAATAGAAGAGATTCATAGATCGAAAGAAAATATATGGTGTTTAGCAACAGAATGTTGTTACAGCAAGCTGAAAAATCATATTTATATTCGTAAACTAGAAGGCATGATACAGGAGTTTCAGATTAAGAAAATTCAGGGTGATGGAAACTGTCTGATTAGGGTACTATTGGATCAACTCGGGAAAATTGAAGGTAGATGCTACGTATCTAACTGGAATGTAAAGAAGCTACGAAATAAAATCGCTGATCATATTTATGCGAACAGGGAAAGGTTTGAAATATTTCTATTTGAGTACTTGGAGGATGAGAAGAGCTTTGACGCAGTAATTTCAAAATTCAAACAATATGGATTCTGGCTTGGACAGGAGGCGTTTGTAGTTGTTGCGGAGTTATTTGAAATATCCATATTAGTAATAGTACAAGATGGAACAAAATATTGTTTTGGAGAGCAATTCATTGATAAGGGAGCCTTGCAAATATTCTAATCAGGAGCACCAGTATTGAATCATTACGATAGCATAATAGATAAGACACAGATCGATAGGACAGCAGCTGAAATGGAAAAGGATGAGGAGAATGTAGGGAAGGAAGGACACATAGTTGAAACAAGCAGCAGGGAAGGGCTACAAGGAGTATCTTATGACATGACAGAAGATAGAAATAACAACATAAGAAAGAACGCTTTGAAACAGCAAGAAGGAAGGGTATTGAAAGTGGCTAGCTGGAACGTCAAAGGATGTAGAAGTAACAGTAAAAGAGAGGAGATAGATGAGGTATTGAATGTTAAAGGAATTGATATAGCTGCTATGCAAGAGGCCAACACATTAGGGGATGAAGTAAATTCTCAAAATCACGTTTGTAAGATTAGAGGAAATCATATTAACAAGACAAGAGGACTTGCCTAAGCGATTAGGAAAAATCTGAATGTGAAAGTATTGGATTGCAAACTAGGGGAAAACTGATAATAGGGGGCAGTAAGTTAATAATTATTAATGTACATGCTCCTAATATCAAACAAAATGCTTTCCTTAACAGGCTAACAGAGTTGACAGGTGCAGAAAACGATAGACGTTTCATATTAGTGCTGGGAGATTTCAATGCCCAACTTGGTCTAGATGACTTAATAGAGAAGATGATAAATGGATAGGTAAGAGATTAGGGCATAAGAACTGCAATGATAATGGAGAACTATTTAAAATGTTCTTGCACATGGAAAATCTGAAGAATGTTTCTTCCAAGATAGGCATCAACACTAACATAACATGGAGGAGTGCCAACAAAGAAAGTCAAATAGATCACGTTTTAAGCCCACAAGTAACGAAATTCAAAATAAGGTTTATTAAAGGAAATTGGACTCACATTAAAGCAGACCATAAAATTATTATTGTAGGGCTTATTTTTTTTTTTTTTTTTTTATTAATTTATTTGTACAGGCTCAATCGAATAAACTTTACAGAGCCG